TTCCTAGAAGTGGTTAGGTAAGTAGTTAGAGGTCTATAAAGTTAGTAAGGCTGTAAGAAAGGAGGGGTCTGAGCTAAATTGTGTAAAACTATTACTTAATGTCTACCTGACCTAGGTGGTGTCCCCTTGTGGAATTTACCTTAAGTCAGGAGACTCGCCTGTGGGTTGTTATCACTGTTAATCCTCGGAAATTGGGTGACCACCTGGGTGATGTCTCCTTTAGTCCTTGAAAGTGGCTAGGGGAGATATCTGATTCCAGAGAAAGCCTTTCCTGAGGCTGTTCTCCAAATACCTGGGATGTGTGTGTCCAGAGAGTGATCAGTCCACACTGTTAGCCCTTCTTAGGGAAAAGTCAATTGGGAAAACTAGGAAGGCACACATGATTTTCATAACAGAATATAGCTGATATATAACAAGCCAAGTAACACCAAAAACTCCTTGGGATTTGGCTTCCTCTGGAGGAATTCCCTGATTCCTCCAGGTAGTGACTTTGCCATAACCAGCTGAGTTCTTATGATATTCCTGCGGCCTGCAGCAAGGGGGAAACTATAATCAGGATCTGTCATATGGAAAAGAATCCATTTTTTTAAATTTTTATTTTATTTGCATCATTGTGTTGCAGAGTATTTGATCACATTGTAAACCCCAAGATTGCATTATTTACTGAAAAAAAAAAACAAAAAACAACCAGCTTCTAGTTGTGGTGTGGCTCAGCCCTAGCACACACCTTTAATCCAAGAGTTTTCTGCTTGAATATTGTCAACAGGATTAAATAAAATCAACCATAGGTCAAGAGGGGGAGCAAGCAATCTGCTGACAGCAAAAAAACATAGAGGGTAGTAGGAAGTCAGGAGGAGAGAGAGAGAGAAGCAGAAGGAAGGGACATTTGGTTAGAGGAGGTTTTCTTCTTTCTTTCTCCTCTTTCTCTTTCTTTCTTTCTTTCTTTCTTTCTTTCTTTCTTTCTTTCTTTCTTTCTTTCTTTCTTTCTTTCCTTCCTTCCTTCCTTCCTTCCTCCCTTCCTTTCTTTTTGATAAGGCAGGAGAAAGCTCTCTTTCTGGGGCAACAGTAGAGGAGGAAGAAGCTGAGTGCTTTCTCTGTCTTTTTGAACTGGTAGGTTTTCACCTCAGTATCTGGCTCTTGAGTCTTTATTGATAAAATAAAATTATAGAGACTTAGTTAAAAACATTGGTGTTTTTGTCTGCTTGTATGTCAAGGAGACACTGCCAGCCGCTGCCATGACAAGCAGCATGTGAAGATGCCGGTAAGCCACGAGCCATGTGGCAAGGTATAGATTTATGGAAATGGATTAATTTAAGCTATAAGAACTGTTAGCAAGAAGCCTTCCACGGCCATACAGTTTGTAAGCAATATAAGTCTCTGTGTTTATTTGGTTGGGTCTGAGCGGCTGTGGGACTGGTGGATGACAGAAATTTGTCCTGACTGTGGGCAAGGCAGGAAAACTCTAACTACAGTGTAAGGGTGTTAGTTACAGACAGTTGTTATAGACAGTTGTTAGCTGCCATATGGGCACTGGGAATTGAACTTGGGTCCTCTGGAAGAGCAGTCAGTGTTCTTAGGTGCTGATCCAGCTCTCCAGCCCAAGAATCTATTTTCAATAAAAGATAAAAAAAAAAAAAGAGTGACAAGTTCATCTCCTGGGCAGTGCTTCCATGGTAACACCTTACATGAAGCACCCCATCTTGGTGGCAGAGAGATCAAAAGATCTGGGTTGGAATCCTGGCTCTTCCATACACTAGGTATAAGACTACAGGCAAGCTGTGTCCCATCATCTTCAAAGTGAGGGGATTAGGTTGCAAGTTATATTCTTTGTAATCTTTCATTTTGCAATTTGGGAACAGATACCCATATGACAGGCTGAAGACTACTTTGAATTTGTTGTTGTTGTTGTTTTTTTTTTTTTTTTTTTTTTTGTAGGTGGACATTTTCTGTCCCAACTGTCAGCTCCCAAATCATGACCTGGAGACTTATTATTAATTATAAAAATGTGGTCAATAGTTTAGGCTTGTTTCTAACTAGCTCATAACTTAAATTAACCCATTTCTGTTAATCTATGTATTGCCATGTGGTTCATGGCTTTACCTGTCCTCCACCGTGTCTTGCTTACTCCGTGTCTCCTGGCGACCCTACCTTTCTTCTTTCCAGCATCTTCTGTATCTGACTGTCCTGCCTATATCTCCTTCCTAGCTAATGGCTATTTAGCTTTTTATTAAATCAATAAAAAGGTGCCTTGGCAAAGACACATCTTCACAGTGTACAAAAAGATTATTCCACAACAATTTTTAGGTAAGGTCTTACTATGTAGCCCAAGCTGGCCCGACACTCATTGTGTAACTCAGGCTGGCTTTTAACTCAAGGCAGTCCTCCTGCCTCAGCCTCTTGACTGCTGGGATTTCAAGAGTGAGTAACCAAACTTTGCTTTGTTTTTTGATTTTTGAGACAGGGCCTTGCTTTGTAGCTCAGGCTGGACTTGATTTTCCAGGCTCTCTATCTCAGCTCCCTAAGTGCCGACATTACAGGTGTTTGCCACCATACACTGATCCTAGTTTTGAACCCCAAACCTTTCATTAACTTGCATCATGGCCTTGAGCAAGACAGCCAGCTCCCTTTGGCTTCAATTTTTTCTTGTCCTAATCATTGTTGTTTTGAGAAAGGATCTCATGTAGCCAAGGCTGCCTGGAACTATGTAGGGAAAGATGACATTGTGTTTCTGATCCTCCTGTCTCCACCTCCTGAGTGCTGAGATTATAGGCATGCACCATGTTTTAGGCAGTGCTAGGTATTGATCCCTGGGCTTTGGGCATCTAGGCAAACAACTTCATCAACTGAGCCACATCCTCAGCCCCGTGCCTCAGTTTATATATTTGTAAACTGAGAAAGCTACATTAGTATTCAGAATCTCTCACATTCTAGCATAGTGAATCTCAGACTTGAACTCAGACCTTAACACTTTGGCTCATGTTAAAATGCAGGCTCTGAAGCAGGCTCCCAGAGTGGAGCCTGAGATTCTTATTTGTGCTGATAAGGTTTGATGAGGTTTGATGCTGTTCTAGGATAAAATGGTGTTTCAAGCTTTCAAGTATCAGGAAAAAAATTTTTTTCCCTAAGACTTGGAAATGGATGAAAGGTTTCTGTGTGTCCCTGGGTGGCACACAGAATAGAAAGTTTTATTCTATAGGAGTGTGCACCCTTGCTGGCCTCCCTATGGACTACACTCCTCTATGTAAGAACAGAAGCTAAGATGGAGAGTATGCAGTAATGGGATGGATTGTTTATGGAGGTACAATTGACTTCAGCTCTGCAGGAAAAATGGCTCTCAGACATTGTTTTTTGCTTTACTGGACATCAACCATTTTGCAATATTAGCACATTTTGATATTCTGAACTTCTCACATGTGTTCTTAGGATTCTCTCTTAAAAAAGATAAAGTATAGTTTCACCAACGCTCCTTTGAAATTCCTTAATTTATTATAGGCCAGAAGTACTTGCTCAGATGAGTGCAGGGCGATGGGGCACATTAAACTCCGAAGTGTTTGTTGAGGCAGCTTGTTTTCCTATCTGCCAGTATACTTTACTCCTACTCTCCTCTGGGCGATATGGTGGATGAAAGTGCTTCAACAATCACCAGGCCCATAATAATCAAAAAGTCAGACAAACCAGCCCAGTAGACAGCTTCTGCAGCGCTAAGATTAAACCCTGACCTTGAACCTCTCCAGAGCTCTTTTTATCACTTGCCGCCTTTATTCTTTAGTATCTCTCCGGTTTCTGCTACAACTGTAATAATGAGACTTCCAGGTAACTAGAATTTGTTCAAGTCAAGAAAGCCGCAGGCAGGGCGAGGCCTGGGCGGGGCCGGCCCGAGGCGGGACCGGTCTGGGGGCGGAGTCAGCGCCTCCGCTCAGGCACCTAGCTCCGCCTTCCTGGCTCCGCCCCTCCTGTCTGTGTCCCCGGCCTCCGCTTCTGATAAAGTTGTTGTTCTGCCAATATGGCGGCGCCCAGAGTGACTCGCGGGGCTTCGTTCGTGCAATGCTTTGGGGAATGAGGCAGAAGCGAGCTGCGGGCCAGAGCCTGTGAGCAGGTAACCCCCAGCTGGGGCTCAGGAGGACGAGAGACAGGCCCTGCTTAGCCCCAATCACTAGGGGCAGGAGGTGAAGTTGTGGACTGGCCCCGGCAGTCCCTTGCAGTTTTCCAAACCCGGAAAAGCTCCGAAATTCTAATTTTCAGTTCTTTCTGCCGTGGACCCTGTTGACAGCTCCGAATTCTTGCTCAGAGAAACGCACATCTTCACATAACTTTGAATCCTCCTCTACTCCTCGCCTAACCCCGGTCCCTAAATCTTCACTCCGGAGTTGGGGGTTTGGACCTAGTCAAAGATCATGCAGTAGTACATCTGGATCCACAGTATATTAGGGCCTGTCCGTCCTCAGAAGTCATCTGGATCTACCACCTTACAGGCTCACAGCTTTAGAGAAGGTGGAGTTCCAAACAAGAAATAACTTGCTTGAGGTCCTGCAGGAAATTAGAATTAGCATCGCCTTTTAACATTGTGTTTTGCAAAACATGTTTGTTGGGGTGAGGTGTGTATGTTTACTTATTTGTTTTATTTCTTTGAGACCGGGTCTTGCTGTATATTCCAAGTTGTTCTGAGGTTGATACGTAGCCCAAGCTGGTCATGAACATAGAATCAGTCCACCGGTTCAGCCTTTTGAATGTTGAGATTGGACATGCACCCACCTTCCTGACCTAACTTGATTTTTTTCCCCCTTTTTTGGAAACAGGCTTTTATGAAGCTGGCCTCGAACTCCCTAACCCTCTTGCCTCTGCCTCTAATTAGGTTTCTTGCATATTTTGGGAGCACATGGATGCTTTATGTGCTTCTCCTTTGTGTTCTAGTTCTTCATCTGTTTCCTACTGTTTTCCTATTTATAATCATCATTTGGGCCCATTTCTCAGGTCCGTCATATTCTCAGTTACTTTAACCTTAAGCCCACATAAAGTGAGATCAGGTCAGGGCTGAATTGAAAGAGGAGTACAGGGTGGGGGTTGGTGGGCAATGTTATGGAAAGACAGAAGAGACAATATTTCAGCAAGTAAGGAATTTAAGATGAACCAGAGCTAAGGAAGAAAGGGTCCAAGCTAATTGTAAATGTAAGTTGTGAGACACATCTTTCCCATTTAGTGTATCCACACTACCTTCTGCTAAAATGGCTGCTCTTGATGCCAGGAAGAGGCAATGCCTGTTAGGACTTCCATAGAGAGTTACTTAAAGTGGCCCCAGAATCATGCTTAGGAAGTAGGATGGAAACCCCGAAGTTCTCATAGGCATCAGTGCAGACAGACTGTTTCTTCCTAGCATGTTCTAATAAATAAGAATCTGAGGGTGATTGATCTTGGGCCTATGGTGAAGAGTGTGGGCTTTATTTTTTGCACAGCTGGGAATGGAACCAGTGGCCTCAAACATTGCCAGGAAATTACTCTACCACTAAGCTATATCCCAGGCCTCCATATTTACAGTGTTTATTTGTTTTATTTTGTTTTTGGTGCTGGAGATTAAACCCAAGGATATGCTGAACATCAGTTTTACATGCCTAACCCTTGGATTTTCTTAACAGATTTGTTTTAATTTTATTTACAATTTATTTTTAAGTGTGTGTGTGTGTGTGTGTGTGTGTGTGTGTGTGTGTGTGTGTGTATGTGTGTGGCTCTGGAGGCCAGAGGCATCAGATCTTTCTGAAGCTGGAGTCATAGGCAGTTATGAGTCACCCACTATGGGTAATGGGAATCAAATTGGGATCCTGTGCAAGAGCAGTCTGTTCTCTTAATTGCTGGGTGATCTCTCCTGCCCCTTGCTTGGTTATTTAAAAGCTGGGTCTCATTGTATAGCCCAAGCTTCCCTGCAACTCATGGTAGCCTGCGTTGCCCTGGCACTCTTCGTTTTGTTTTGCTTTTTGGGACAAGGTTTCTCTGTGTAACAACAGTACTAGCTAGTCTGGAACTTGCTTTGTAGACCAGGTTATCCTGGAACTCACAGCGATCTACCTGCCTGCCTCCTGAGTGCTGGGATTAAAGGTGTGCGCCACCATGCTTGGCTTTGTCTTGGGACTCTTGACAGTCATCTTTCCTCAGCCTCCCAAGCTACTGGCATTCCAGGTGTGAGACATCACCGATTCTTAACCACCCTGACATACATACGTTGCTGAATTGTTTCAGAGAAGTCTTCTCAATTTATATTCCTACCAGCAGTATATACAAATAATTATTTTCATTCAAACAATTTTTTGCCAATATGATAAGCAGGATATTTAATTGTTTTTATTTCTTTGATTAGTTGTAAAGTTGATCTTTTCGTATTTTTTTGGCCTTTGTTCTGTCTTATCAACTCCCCCCACCTCCATTTTCTGGTGCCTTGGATTGAATCCAGGGCCTTGGACTTCCTAAGCAAGCACTCTACCACTAACCTGCCTACATCTTTGCCTATTTAAACATGGTTTTGGGTTTCTCTTCTCATATGTCAACTCTTTATGGAGCTGTAGTTTGAGACAAATAATGTCCTTCAGCAAATTGTTTACTCGTTAGCAATTTGTTCATATATTTCTAAAATCTTTCTTTCT